ACANACACACACACACACACACACACACACACACACACATATATATATATATATATAAATAACATACCAAGAATGCGACGTTATAGCTGATCGTTGCGTTAGTGAGTGCAACGGCAGATGCATATGCTCCGGCGCCCCTTAGTGCGACGTTGGCAATCAGCTCAACGTCACTGAACTCTGCCGCGGCCTCGACAAACAACCCACCGCCCATCTGGTAGATAAGTACAGATGTGAGTAGTAGACAAATAAAGAGGAGTGACACAGGCCATTTTTTCCTCTGTGCCATGAATATATTCACGTAGACAAGGTTTATGTGACAGATTAGTTTACTGCCAACGTGGTGCATATGGCAAAGAACAGACGCGAGAGATGTGAGGAGAAGACGTGGGAGATGTGCAGAATACGAGACGTAGCAGTGCAAGTACTAAGCCCACCGACGGAGAGTAGGGCATTACACCCGTGATGCGCTTATGTAAGACTTGTATATGGAGAATGAATGTGGGTATGTATAAGAACTATGACAAGATTGCAGGTATGGAAGAGGACTACAGGTATGAATCAGAAATACAGGCATGAATAAGAACTCAAGGTATGAATAGGAACTCCAGGTATGAATAAGAAATACAGATATGAATAAGAAATACAGGTATGAATAAGAACTAAAGGCATGAATAAGAAGTACAGGTATGAATAAGAAATACAGGTATGAATAGGAACTCCAGGTATGATTAAGAATCAAAGGTATGAATAAGAGATACAGGTAGGGATAAGAAATACAGGTTTGAATAAGAAACACAGGTATGAATAAGAAATACAGGTATGAATAAGAACTAAAGGCATGAATAAGAAGCACAGGTATGAATAAGAAATACAGGTATGAATAGGAACTCCAGGTATGATTAAGAATCAAAGGTATGAATAAGAAATACAGGTATGAATAAGTGATACAGGTAGGGATAAGAAATACAGGTTTGAATAAGAAATACAGGTATGAATAAGAACTGCATGTATGAATAAGAAATACAGGTATTAATAAGAGATACAGGTAGGGATAAGAAATACAGGTTTGAATAAGAAATAGAGATATGAATTAGAAATACAGGTATGGATAAGAACTAAAGGCATGAATAAGAAATACAGGTATGAATAAGAAAAACAGGTATGAATAGGAACTCCAGGTATGATTAAGAATCAAAGGTATGTATAAGAAATACAGGTATGAATGAGAACTACATGTATGAATGAAACTACAGGTATAAATAAAAACTGTATGTATGATGAAACATATTATACTAAATCGGGTTGACTTCAGGGTTCGAATTGGCCCAGAGAGCGTGGTGCAATTAATAATGTTATAGTTTTTCGAGTTTTTTGGGTCCTCAAATGTCCTGAAATTTGATGCAACTCCGGTGTAGTTGATAGTAGAGTACTTTATATCCCGGTTTATCCCGCTTTTCTGCACATGTTTCGAGTGCATCGGCAAGGAGGTTGACAAATATTTACGTTGGGTCAAGATACTGGGGTACTATACACTCAGCTTGTATTCAGCATGCAAACACATGCAACACGAACGATGGGTATAACCTGTGAGTAATACATACCCCTGATGCCTTGTTGTTGCGGAACTGGCTGCTGGTAACAGAGACATTGCTGACTGTGTATATGCCGCCCCCATTGCATGTCTGCGATCTGATAGGGCAATACGTTCGGTACAACAAAGTAGACATTAGGAGAAATGAAGCACACATATGCTAAAATTACTACTACAATATAGCTATATATATATCGTATGTGTACATACATATAGATAAAACATATGATGTTCATATTAAAAGCAGAGTTTCATTATCGAACAGATATGGACGTGACGGAGACGAATATATATATATATATTTATATATACTATACACTCACACTCACACTACACACACACACACAC